CATCAACGTGTCTTTTAGACCCCATTCCTACAAAACTGCTCAAAGAAGTCCTGCCATTAATTAATTCTTCGATCTTAAATATGATCAACCTATCTCAGTGTATTCAGTTTGCGTACTCCCTGGCTCATCATATTCATTAGGTTCAGCTGTACAAAGCTAGTCATCAAATTAGTGTGTCACATAAAGAATCGCAGCAATGACAACAATCTCTTGAGCTGAAGCTTCTCCAGACAAACCGAGACTTTGTAAAGGATCCAGGACGACTCAGGTGGGGCGATGTTCGTGGCCGCTCAGTGGGGTTTTAGTACAGAAGCATTAAGTCGCAGAGTTGCGCAGTTTGAACTTTTTGGTTCTCCGTCTTAGTGGGGCTTAGCTTTGTGGGGTACTGTAGTGAGTTCTCCGCCACTTTGTGGGGAGTTGAGAAGTTCCGCGGGGTCCTGTTGTGGTGGACAGGAGGCCTAATTTGTGTTGTTGTTGTTTGTGTGCGTTTGTGTGAATCAGTGCGGAGCAGACACATGGTCGCCAGCTGTTGTTGTTATCATGGGTTACCGAGCAAGTAAGATTGCCTCACAGGGAGACGACGCATTCATGCAAAAATTCGCTACCGGCAGTGCGAGGTATTTACATTGTCATAAAAACTGTGATTTTTAGAGTAAACTGGTCGCTGGAAAATGTCAGATGTTAGAAGTTTTCAGAAAACACAGTAGCCTTGGAGAGTATGTGGAGAAGGCCAGCCCACATCAGCAGCAGTTCAAATATGCTCTGGTGAATGGCTTTCACCCACCCATTGCTGATTTCATTAGGAAGCAAAATGTTTAGATTATTCTTTAGATTGCCCAAAGCCTGTGCTCCAGACCATAGATATCACTGAGGTGGATAATTGTTAAAAGTAATCTGCATTAAGCTTAAGGTTGCTCAAATTCAGTACAATGACATATGAGATGAAGAATACAAGGAAAATATTAAAAATAATGAAGTGCATAGAGGCACTTGACCTGTTTGAAAACCTGTCATCCTATTATGAGCCATTGTTGACATATAGAGCACACCTATAAAAACAACTAATATGCTGAACCCTGTGTAAAACAGCTAAAACTACATGATGGAGAAGCTGAATTGAATATGAAAGTCTTTATCACTGTGCAAGTCTTTGCCACTGTGTGCGGAAAGCATACAACCACTGTGTGAGGTTGCATTGCGGTCTCTTCTGAGCTAATGAGCAAGCTACACATTGTCAGAGCAGGAGCTGGCTGAGAACGCATCAGAGGGAGGAAAACAGAGCTATGATAACTCGAGCATGCAGCTATCTGTGAGTTCAGTTTCTTCCTCACACCTCAGATGCGCAGCAGTTTTTCTGCATCTTGACTCATGTGTGTAAAATTTTCATAGCATCAGCATCAAGTTTTTGTTTATTTGTTTTGTTGGGTTGAAAAATAACTAAATAAACTTGTGATTATACTTATGGATCACCATGGCACATACCATTGGCCATATGATTTATTTATGCAGATGAAAAAGTGAGTGTGAATGTGCCTGACGTCGCAGTGTGTGTGCGCTGTGTAAAAGTAATTGTCTCCAACTGTGAGAGAGGTGATTCTGCAGGTCACCAGCTATTGTAGTGGACAAAAAAAGAAAAAAAAGAAAAGAAATTTACACTGTAGATGAAAAATAATACTAGGAAAAAGGTTTTGTGTTTCTCAGCCAAGAACAACCACAATCTCATTTTCTGTTTTTAAGAAAGGAGAGTTCACAAAACAGAGAGAGAGAGCGATCTCTCACTCATCTCTGAAGACAAGGAATGCAGTTCCAAAGAGCAATAACGTAGCAGTTGAAGAGACAGCAAAGTCCTGAGCAGAGAGACCCAGCAAGCAGCAGCAGTGTGGACAAACAGCATCAGAGAGGAAAAGAAAACCCTTGCTCCTCCTTGTCCTTGTCGTCCTCTTCATCCTACTCCTTCACCTCCACGTCCTCTTCCTCG